TGTATTATTGGTTGGCAGAAGATAGAAGAAAATTATATAATAAATTGCACTGAAAATTAACTTGTGATACAGATTATTGGATAGCTGTTATTAGTGTGCATATTGTTTATTTGTTGTAAACATTTATGTATCAAAACTGCATCTTTATTTTTCACTGCTGACTGGTATAGATGTAAGAACCTTATATATTTACTACTTTTTCTCGCTAACCAATTAGGAATAGCAAGTACAAATAGAGGGTCATTTAATTTGTCCTGTAGTATTTGTAATGTTTTAGTTTCTTCTGACATTTTGAAGAATATCCCATTGAACTTAGAACAAGAATAGTATTAGTTCACCAGGCTGATTTATTAGTGGAAGTTCTCATTTCACTTACTTGGCATCATTTTTAACACCTGATATGCAGTGTCTCACATCTATTGAAAGTCGTTTACAGCGTGCTGGGTTTTAAGGGCTCTCCTCAAGGGCAAAAGGGGGAAACTCTCCTGGAAAGATCTACCATTTATCCTTTGCAAACATTTTTCTGAAGAACACATGCCATCTGCCCACATTTGTAAACTAAATGTCCTGCTTTCTCTCAAGCACAGGAGGACCTATTGAAAAAGTTCTCTGTATCACATGAAACAAAAAATGCAGCCCTGACTGCTAAAACTAGCAATGTCTTGTAAATTTAAGCCACATTACTCAGGCAGAAATTCCAGCTGTTAAAACACTGATAATGGAAAGCCAGTGTGAGTAGTGACCAACATTCTCAATAGGGTTAAACACCAACATTACACGTTACTTGAACCCTAAACACGATTGCTTTGGGGTCATTGACAATGTCATCAAGTTTTCTGGTTGGTTTGGTTGCTGAATTCCACTTTGTTGAAGAAAATTATATTACTTGCTTTTTAGTCTTTTATTGGATTGTGCACAAAGTTAAACAGTACATTTAGGACCACAATGAACTCTGAAAAGAGTGTGAGAAACTTCATTCTTGAATTTATATTTAGTCTCAAATTTAGCTTGATGTAGCAAAACAGAAGAAGAAAAATTGGAATTTGTTTGCTTCCCATCATGAGATCAGTAATACATGCTATGTGGTATATTTTCTTTCTTTTTACTTCTTTTTAAAGAAAACCTAAAAAATAAAAAATAAAATAAAAACTTCCAAATCTAGGTTATATGAAGTTGTAAATATATTGTGTACTGTGGAATCAAGATGAATTGGATCAGTGTATCTTTCTGTCATATATAGTTTAACAAAGTAAAGAAAGTCTCTCCTCTAAATTCATGGAACAGAGGTCAACTAAATTACTAAAAACAACTGTAAAGTCAGTTATTTGGTAAAAATTAAGTCAGTCTTTATTGTGAATTCAATATTGAAGTTTCATGACTATACACCAATGACAAGAGAATACCTTTTACTCATTAAAAAAAAAAAGCAGTCATGTGGAAAGAGGGAAGCCTTAAGTAACAAATGATTGTATTTGCATGTCACACCTATGTTATCAATATTTCAAATTACATTGTCATTAGTAAGGTATTTGGAGATAAAATAAGTCATCTTCATAAGTCTTCAACACTTATTTTTAATAACTGTCATGAGATTAAATTGTTATTTTCATCCTAATGTTTAATACATTAATCCAAGTGAGAGTTCATGATAAATTTTAAAAAGTATATGTAAAAAATATATTTTTGCTGATTAGCTGCTGGAACTAAGAACATATCTATTCTTCCTTTAGTTGTTTCAGCAATGTAATCAGTGAAACCAAAGATGGTATCAATCAAAATTTAGAAAACATAGAACCATGATGTTGTTATAGTGATATAAACAATGCAAAGAAAACATGCATGACATTGCATAGTATAATAACTTGTACATATTGTCTAGTTTTAAATCAAGATTCTTAACTGCAGCTATATTTTTAAGTTGTTTGACATCTATAAGAAAATAGGTAAGGGTCACACAGAAGGGAGATAAGAAGACAATTTGTTTCTGGAAAGGTAATATTTATTCAAATAACATACATAGCTGTGCATTTATTATGTGCCAGATATTTCAGTTGATACGGGGGGTCAAAGATTAGTGTTATTCTCTTTTCCAACTAAACATGCAGATATTTGTAATGCGGATAAGTAAACTGGTATGAGGGGGATTTTTATGTGCTAAGGAAGACACAAAATAAAGGAAAGGAATTTGCTAGTGTAGGTAAAAGTTTGAGATCAGGATTCCTGAGGGTGAAAATGTGTGTGCTGAATCTGTATTATATGGGCATTATTATTGTAAACATAGTGATAAACCCAAGTAAGAAATAATCAGACTGTGAGTACACCATATTGAAGATACAGGAAGTACCGATATTTAAAGTTGCTCATTTAAAATCCTACCTGCAACTGCATAATTCAGGGTAATCTGTCTATCTGGAGGTCCTTAATTGAATCACACACATAAAGTCCCATTCCCGTGAAAATTAGATTATTTCAGGCACCTCTTTCTACCCTCGGTGTCTGTGCAAACATCTTTTACATTCCTTTTTTTTTTTATCACAAACTTGTCCTTTGGATATTTAAAAAAAAAAGACATTTCAGTTTTACAGTCAGATGCAAAGGTTTTGTTTTGTCTGACTGTTTTGTTTCTCTTATTCTATATGTGAGTGAAACCATCTCATATTGTCTTTCTCATTTTAGATTATTTGACTTAGCATAATTACCTCATGTTGTCTCAAATGGAAAGAGTAGCACTCCGTTGTGTGTATATGTACCACATCCTCCTCATCTACTCTTCTGTCCTTGAGCACTTAATTACTTTAAATAACTATTTGTTGAGCTAGTTGTAGCCATTAACCAATAAAAGACATGTAGATATTTGCAGTCTTCTGGACAAAGGTGAGAATTTTATCAGGTGCATATTAATTTGTACCTGAGATATAGGTCATTGAGAATATATGAGTACTTAATATTCAATATTCATGCATTCTCAGTGTCAGATTTGAGTTTTCATAAAATTATAGTTATTTTACAAGTCAAATAGATTTATATATTGCACAGAATTGTGCCTCATTAATTCCAGAATGATTCTGGTTTTTCCTTAATTATTCTCAAATGTTAAGATTATATAAGCTTTTTTTGTGACTACAGATTCATAATAGTGAATACATTGAATCAACTTCCCTTAAAAGTCGAAGACACTGATGTGTCAGATCCTTGATACGTTGGACACAAGCTGAAATTCACAAATCAACAAATAGCCACAGGAGTATAGTTTATAATTTAGGCTTATAAAAATGTGACTTTTCTAAAAAAGTTTGTTTCCTTCATGTAACTTAGGAGTTCTTCTAATTCTGAAATTCTCTTGTTTTTAGAATTCTTACAGTTCACATTTGTTATCATTTTTCACAATGTCATAAAACATTGCTTTAGTAAGTGAAAGATAATTTCATGTTCTTAGTTACTCTGGCATTGACTTGACAGCTTAAAGTTAAATGATTACAATAAAATATGTAGACCCTACCTGATTTTTCAAGTGTCAGTGACTAAAGAGGCAAATAAGTATTATGTTCTGAGAGACTTGATCACTTCTTCCTTCACATGATGCTTTCAGTGTGTTTGCAAATTTAGATGAAACCCCTTCAGTGTGTTAGCTGAACAAACCAATAATTCTGTCTTATTTGAACATTTATTTTCTTCAGGTCTCATTGCAAATTTCTGATTTGTAGGAAGTTAACACAAATAATTTTCATATTATTCATCGGCAGTCTTGCTCTCTTAATATTGTGTGGTATCTAAATAGGTAAAACTTTCTTTTTGGTTTAAAATATCAGTTCAACCACACCTCTGTATCAGAAGGCCACATTTGTTCTATAGGCTATGATTTAATTTTAGGAATAAGACTAGAGGACATTAGGAGTCAGGTGAAATATGCTTTTACACAAAAGGTTTTGAGCACCACTAGAATGGCAATTTTAGGATATGAGGAAGAGAAAGAAAGGCAAATAAGGATAGAACAGATAAGATGAAGTAATTGAGGTGGATGGAATGTCAAAATCAGTTCAAGAGAAATGCTTGCAGATCTCAGTGGTTACTCTGGCCTTTTTAAGATTTTAGTTTCATGATTCACAAATGGGAAGGGCTACTCATTAATGCCACAGAGAGCAGTATCAGAAATGTTCTGTTGCATAATAGTTTATTTCCTACAAAACTTTCAATATTGATTTTAATTGTCACTTTTCCAAACTGATTTTCTCTTATTCAAATCAGGTATGACACATTAATTGAAATTAGTTATAAAACTGTCCATTAATGAGCATTTTGAAATATGAGATCATTGAGAGAAAAGTTTTGCAATTCTTTGCTTCCAACAGGAACCAAGAAAGTGGTAGTTTTTCATGGAAATACTTATTTTCAATATCTGACTTATGTGAAACCAGAAAGAAATATTGTTCATCATATGACATTTATTTAAGCATATAAATTCAAGTAATTATTGATGTAGTAATCTTCCTCCAAATGATTATTAGATGTCTATTGAAAGGATATATGATGAAAATAAAAATGATTAGGAATAAATATTCTGAATTATTGATAGAAAATGTTATTTTCTTTTATATACTAATAAAAATTTGCTAATACCTTTGTGGAATGAAAACCCATTTCCATATTTATCACTTTTTAATACCTTTTTAATACCTTTTTTCAGCAAGCTTCTATTCCTTTTGTAAAATTTAACTGATGCATGTAAGAATAATGAAACTGTCTGATCAAGTGTTAAAAACTGCTAATTTCTTTCATTTCATCACAGCCATACATTTTGGGATGAGTGAGAAAACTAATAAAGGTCCTTAAAAACCCATGGAGTTATAAAATCCATTTTGTTCTTGAATAACATGAGGTTACTATTGCCCTACATACAGTACCTAATTTATAAGTAATAAGAATTTCATGTTTCTACATGAGCAATTAAATTCTTACTAAAGTTGGCAAATGCCTAATGCCTTTTCTGGTTTTCTTTCAAGGATCCCCTATTTCATCTGGAATCGCACAGATCTGAGCGAGGAAGAGGAAGATGCCCTTTTGATCCCAGCTCCTCTTTTGTCTCCACATTAATTGGTAATTATCCTTCTCACAGACTTCTGGTGGTAGTTATATTGATTTTGAAACTTCAGTTAGATTCCCTGGGTATTTCTGTGTATATATTGCCTTGTCATATCTATTAGTTGGTTCTGGGGCCAATAATATAAATTGTAAGACATACTAACCTGAGCCATTTTGATTCTAAAATAAGTGCAGCTGCTATCAAGTATGTTTGTCACATTCTGAAAGCACCAGTGTCACCTAATGCCTGATGTAAGACATTCATTTTTATTATGTCATTTATTGCACAAAATACAGTTATATGAGTATTTTATAAAACTTAGCCAGATAAATTAATCTCTTTTTCTATATGTTAATTCTCTATGTTTTAATTACTTTGTGATTTAGGAGAATCTTTATTCTCTTCTTGGTGTCTTCCTCTGTGTTCAGAAGAATTCAGCAGAAAGTCTTCTCAGTTAAGAACTTCATAATTGTCTAAATTCCTGCTAATCTTGAATGTAAACTATGGAAGTTAACTTCTCAAACTACCACTAGGTGTTCATCTTGGAACAATAGAATAAGCTGACTATGTCTGACCTAGGTTTCAATTTGATTCAATTTAATTAGATAAGGTACTTGACAACCTCCCTTAAGAAACAGTAAAATACTTTTTTATACTATTTGGTGTTAAAAATGGCACACTTGTCAAAGTATTCTAGCACTGTGATACAGACTTATGGGTAAGTTCCCAAGCATAAGATTGAAGAGAGCAATCCCTGACATGTAGGATAGGGGCAATTAGGCATCAGTCTGCTTTCTCAGTGTTGAGGGGTTGTGATACAAGCATGGTACAGATGTACAAGTTTCTATTATTACATTTGAAACACTAGAGTTATAGGCTATTAATAACATTAAGCCATCCTGTTTGCATAAAAATAGAAAATATAAATAACATGTGGAGACATCCTACTCTAAATTCATGGTTCAAACTTAAAATTACTCACTGAGGATAAATCAATATACCTTATGCTAGATTTATAGCTGATACCGATGTTCTTGTGTATTTTAGATACTATTTGTTCGATAATATATTCTAGACAGTTGATTGTGATGGGTCTCGCATCCCATTCTCCAAAATCCTCCATCCCACTCATGGTAACTCAGGTCCAAATAAGTGTGTGTGTGTGTTATATAAATATCAATATAAATATATATCTTTAGATATGTAGATATATTGGTAGAGAAAATATCTTTTGTTGTATTAATAGAAAAATTTTAATTTACTTCAGCTTCATCATTTAAAAGGTCTGTAAGATGAGGATTTCAATTAGTCATTCAGACCTTCAGTGACTTAAACAATTAGATGTAATAGTTTTAAGGAAAAAAATTTTATTTTATTTTATTTTTTTTAAGATTTATTTATTTATTTTTATTTATTTATTTATACAAGCACTGGGTACAGTTAGAAGCGCGGGAGGGCGAGAGAAGTCACCAGAGCAAGAGCGGGGAGCAGAGCAGGCAGAAGGACGGAAGTACACTGCTGAGGGGAGCAGCGGGCGGCAGGAGAGGTCTGCGCGCCATGTGGGACCCTCTGCTGGTGGCCGGGGAGCAGCCGGGGATCGAACTGGCGCTGCAGAGGCTGCGGGCAGCTTCGCAACCCAGCGCTCAACCACTGCGCCACCGGGGAGGCCCAGGAATAAAATTTTAAAGAAAAATATTACTTTAAAGTATCTTAAGTTCATGTGCTAACCTGTGTGTGTGCAGACTAAGTGAAAACTAAGTTTAGAATAACACAGCCATCATAAGTGTTAGAAATACTCAGTAAATTAGTAGCACATGAATTAAAATGCACACATTTGTTAGGCTCATAAAATTTTTTAAAATGTTTTTAGTGATTATTGTAACTTCCTAGAGTGGAGATTTGATTAAGTCTGGAAGGAATTTTCTCATCATCTTTCTTTTACCACACAATACCTTACATAGAAAATTAATATTGACTGACTGGATTGCTCACTGTGGTTCCTAGGCCAGAAACCAAAGAATAAGTTTTGAGATATTATTCATAAGAATATTATAAATAGCATTTAAAGTAAAAAATTACACAGTAAAGCCTACATCAAGAGTGAATTACTAACAAGATTAGAAGAGAACACCATTTATTTTTAACATTTCATTTAAATGGTTAAATATATCTTAGCCAGCCTGCCACTCACCACTCAACCTCCCTGGAGCTTGTTTATGCATGAAACCAGGAATTTAAAACTGAATTTTTGAAGAGGGGAAATATTACTGGAGGGACATTTCTAAGTGAGTTTCATTGAACTTCCAAATCAAATTACACCGTGCTGAAATGTGAAGTGCTTGCCATCTGGGTGGTGGTTTCGCTTATTCAGAAGAGAAATCAAATCATAAGGGCCCTCCAAGCCAAACACAAAAGTTATAGGATAATCCCTCCAAAGAGAAGAAATGAAAATACAATTCTTCACATTTGTCCACTAGCTTTCATCCCAAAGTACCTTTGAGAGATCATTCACTCACTGTGGATATGTGGCAGCCACTGGGCTGGAAACCTGATAGCCAATGTGAGCAAGCAACTCCTTTAGAAGAGAGGAAGTAGAAATAACTCACCCAATTGAAAAAGCAGCAGGAATTCTGACTGGAGAAAAGTAGAGCTACCTGAGTTGGAATTTGGCAAGCTCAAGGTAGCTTACTAGAACAGGGGAAAATGCATTAATGTAGTATTTTATGACCACATATGTTCTCTGCTGATAGGTTAGAACAAAATTCTGACAAAAAAGATGACCATCTTTAAGATCATTGTTCCTTCCTGGTTTCCTTGTTAGTTACAGCTGACACTTAACATTTAATGCTTCTTCACATTGAGATGTTCTTTCATGATGAAGAGTTGAATTTGTGACAACACTCTTAAAACTATCAAGGCCTCCAAAGGAAAAAACTGCAAATCAGAAAGTGTCTTTTAATTTCTTTACTTTAGATACACTTTTTATTTCAGTTACCTTAATTCAGTTGACTTAAGAGAGCATATAGGTTAAAAAATACTAAAAACTAAATAATGATTATATACCAGGGTGCAAAGCAAGTTAGTAAACACAGTGTTGTTATGTTGATTATTTACTTTAGAAATGAATTGTTAATAAATTATAATGATTCTATGTGAAACAGGATTAAGGAGTAAAAACAAGCTCCTTGATAAGCTATTTTCTGTATGTTCAAAAAACAATCAAAATGGAGCCATGCATTATTCAGGGCTGCTCTTCAAGTGACATTTTGTATTGACATAATTTGTCTTGGTGGCATATAAGTACATATCACAAGTACACGTTTAGCCACATTTTCCCCCTAATGTGATTACTGACACTGTATTAAAAGTGGTCTTTAGTAACTGTCTGAATAATAGAAAACTTTACAACCTGATTTTAAAAAGTTTGTCAAAACAATGAATTATTTAGTAAAATAAATTACTGTACTACTCGTCTATACCTCTCAAGTCACTCAAAGATTTTTAGTACTTATCTTGCCACTAAATTAATATGTTTGGTGACTGGCCAAATCAATATCCAGGAAATAGTTTATTTTGTTATGTTATTTTGACCAGGAAGGAACATTTTCATCATTTATGCTTTATGTAATATTGCAATATTCTCCTTATGTTGCTTCAGTAACCTGGATTCCCCTTAACTTTTGCCCTCTCAATTCTATTGCCATTTTTTAACATTTCATTCTGCCCTAGACTTGTATTACCAGTTCCAAGTGTAACTTAATACCTGCCATTCTAGAAGTGCCTACACTATGCTCTGGCACACATTACATGTTTCTAGTGTTTGGGGGTAAACCACTCTGCTCTGCCATGTATCTTTTCACATTTATTTTGAAAGAGTTAGCTTTGTTGTTGGAATACTTCTCAAGTTAAAGACTTACTAAACTGCATTTCAACAAACAACCACAAATTTTATAGTCACTAAAATTTCTTTCTTTTTGGTCTTATGTTACTAATTTTTAGCAAATAAAACTATAATAACTTATAGCTCCAGAAATTATCTTCATGAGCAATCATTCATAATAATGAGACCTTTGTGAATATATCTCCTCATTATGGATTCTGTGAATTAAAGGTCAAAGCTGATTGAATAAGAGGAAGTCGGAATACACACAGGGAAAATTTAAGTGATTTTTTTTCAAGCACTTAATAGCATTCATTTTTTTTTTATAAATAAATGTTTCCTTTTAATTAACTATACTTATACTCAGGGTAGAATATGAATGAAATCATTCTGGCACAAATTAGAACTTAATAAATATTAGGAAAATAAATGGAAATATCTACCAAAAGGTAAAATATATGTCTTTATTATTATAACCTCTATGAATATAAAAGTGAATGTGCTGGCTTGTCTCTTGAGTTCATCCCAACATGGATGTAAAGTTAGTCCCTTACCACATTCCTGTCTCTAATCTGTCATTTCTTTTCCAAGATTGCTGTGCTCTCACATTTGGCAAAATGCCAGATATCCACATGCTTACTGTTTTTTCTGTCCATAGTTGTTAGTCTCCTGGGAGCTATTTGAATTCGTTGCTTATGATTTCCTCACGGCAAACAAAAAAATAATTAAAATTCTTACTCTCCAATTCCCCATTGATAATCTTTCCTTTGGTAATCTGGTTGATAATGCTGGTAATAATGTCACTGGTTTACCACCTAGAAAACTCAGGGTATTGCCCGAGTCCAGAAAATACACATGTAAAGATTCAAAATATGTTTTTGTGTTTCCCTCATGACTTAGAATCCTCCTTCTTAATGTTGATAGTTAATACTAACTCTATGCCAAAGTAAAAACAAAAAGCCCAAACATAATGGTGACGGATGTTATCTAGATTATTGTGGTGTTCATTTCACAATATATGCAAATGGAAAATCATGTTATGTCCCTGAAACTAATGTGAAGTTACATATCAGTATCCCAAGGAAAGAAAAAAAGCCCAAATGACAACTGCAAAACTATTAAAACAATACTGTC